ACTAGTGGTTCACTTCTCTAAAGTTCCTGACCTGAGGAGGAATAGTGGAGGGTGTTTTTCTACAAGTTTCTTCTTCCTAGTAAGGTGTTCTTGCCGTAGACCAAATGAGTAAAGTTTTGGTTATTTTGTTACTGAAATATCCAAAGTTTTTCGAAGAAGGAAGAGTAAACAAGTGGAGGAGGCCTCTGCCTTCAGGAAGTAATGTTTTTAAGGAAAGTGTGTAGACTTTATTATCAAAAAATAAAGGAATATTTTTGAGAACGTCTGTTTTTTGGGTTGGCAAAGGGATCAGCGGAAAGAGATTTTTATATTTTTTTTATATAGATTTATATAAGCATTAAATTCTATTCAATATATTAATATTTATATAAAAATATATACATTACAAACCTGTGCTCAAAAATTTGTCTGTTTGAAAACTCTTGCATCATACATGCTTTCCAGCTGTTTTGAATAGAAGTATAGTGGTATCATAAAGTTTTAAAAAAATTTTTGAATGACAATTATTTAACATAATTTCTTAATCACAAAAGATAAGCAAATTTTCAACAAATGTAATAATACTTTATTTATTTGACAATAACCTGCTCATTCTCACCCTTTTATATATAATGTCTTTGGCAAGAAATAATGGCACAAAATAGTCTTTTCAACAAAAAATCAGCAATATGAAATAATTTGTCTTTTATGGAATAAAGGCATTTGCTCTGCAAAAGAAATTCAGCAATGTATAAACATTAACCTTTCTACAATTTATTACAACCTAAAAAAATTAAAAGAGACAGGTAATGTAACTCGATGAAAGGTCTCGGGTTATCCAAGAAAAGTCAATTCAAGTATAATATGTGTGATCGGTCAGTTTATCAGATAAACACCTATAATATTAGTAGGTGAGTTGATTCAGAAAAAGGTATAATACTTGGAAGAGAAATGGTTTGAAAGCATCTTTTGGCCAATAGTTATAAGAATTCCCTTCTCCTTGCAACACCTATACTTACAGAGGAGTATAAAGAGAAGCGGGTTGAATGGGTCCAAGAACATCTTCACGATAATTGGTTCCACATTTTTTTTTCTGACAAAACTTCATTCTAACTGTTTAGGAACACTATTACTTAGTGATACAAAAACAGTCGTCCAGTCTGTCACATCCCTAAGAATCAACAAAAAATTCATATGTGGGATGCATTTAGTCTATAGTATACATATGGTATAAATTATTTTGCTGTTGACTCAATTGCCAAAATTCTCAAAAATAATTGTATTTGACTTAATTATTTTATATATTTTAATAGTAACTCAATTAATTGCGTCAAATAATTGTATCAAATTATGTTAAGGATCTACCAATTTCTATTATATGTATAGTCTACAAAGTAAATATGGTCCCGAAAATTGGAATCACATAGACTCGCATGGACTCACATATATATAAAAAACATAAGTAGGTTATAACCCATCTATTAAATTTACTATAAGAGTTGGAATCAAATGGAATCGAACACAGAATCATTAGGATTTTTAAGAGTAAGACTAGTATTTATTGTTTTGTAGGAAAAATGGATATTGCGTTCTATGTCGAAATCCTAAAAAACCAACTTTCGGAGATTAAAAAAATGATGAGTGACGATTGGCGGCTTTAGCAGGACAATGATCTTAAGCATACAAGTCATCTAGCTAAAGATTTTTTCAATAAAATAGTCCTGTGCCTTATCAATTGACCGTCGAACAGCCCGGATCTTAATTCTATCAAAAATTTATGGAGAATTATTAAAAAAAATGGAGAAAAAAAAAACCAAAAAATTTAGATAAGTTATAAAAGTTTATAGTCGAAGAAGAGGAAAAGTTCCAAAAAATACCTATAAAAATTTAATTAATTCGATGCAAGAGAGATGTAGGGTAATAATTGATGCAAATGGTGAAAGAATTAATTATTAACAATATCTATTATTTAATTTCATGGTTCTAATAAATCAAATAAATTATATTACATTGTTATTAAATTATTGACTATTGTATAAATGATCATTAAAAAATTTTTAAAACTTTATGGTACCACTATAAATATATACATTTTACAGATAATTAATTTTTACATAATATTGAGTTATGTCAATTTTTAAAAATGAAAATGGTCAAATCTAACTGTTAAGATATCATTTTTTTCACTTTCTATTTCAGGAAGGGGAGATGAGCTATTGAAAGCAACCATTATATATATTAAAACAAAAAAATTTTATAAAAATATATTAAAAAAATTGAATATTTTTGATCTTATTATTTAAAAATTTTATTTTTAATAAAGAATTATTATTTAAAAAAGCAAAAAAAAAAGATAGTGAAAGTTATACTCAAGTTAAAATATATTTAATTTTGTTAATTTACTTTCTAAATATATTATAAAAGTTTATATATTTTTAAATTAATATATTTAGATCGAATTCAATAATATAATGTTTTACTATTTCTATAAGTGTTTTTATAAGGAATAATATATTAATTCATATACAATATATTGCAAAAAAAATGGCAAAATTTTTTTTATAATTGAAATTATTAAATAAGTATTTATTTAAAATTTTTTAAAAGTATAAATTTAATTAAAAATTTCAATTAAAAATTTATTATATTTATGTTTATATTTTTTTTAAAAAAATTATTTGATTTATTAATTTGTTTTTTTATTTTATTTTTATATTTTAAAAGATATAAATTTAATTAAAATTTTTAATTAAAAATTTATTATATTCATATTTATATTTTCTTAAAAAATTTTTATTTAATTTATTAATCTGTTCTTTTATTTTACTTTTTTAAAATCTTTTATTCAAAAAGCAAAACTTATATAAAAATAAATATATATTACTTTTTTTTTAAACAGAATTTAAATAGAAATTAAAAAGTATAATTTATAATTTTTGATAAAAATTAATTATTAAATTAAATAATAAAATAAATAATAAAGTAATTTTAAGTAAAATTATTCTATAGATTATATTTAAATTTTTTATTTTCTTTTTTAATAATTTTTGTTAAGTTACAAATAAAAATATAATTACTATTTTTTTGTAATACACTGTATCTACACAGAGTTTAGCAGAAGTATGTCTTAAATGTTATCATTGTATAAAGGAACAGTTTTTACTCATTATAAATGTCAATTATGTTGTTTTGAACATCCATCTATCATAAAACAAGCAGTATTAAATATTCAGTGGATATTTTGTTCATGTCATTAAAACGAATAAATTCAGCTAAAATAATTCAAAATATTGTAATTAAATAACTATATCGACCAGGTGGCACATTTATGAAACATTCTCAAGATCAGTATTATCAAAATGCTAAATATGTACCATGATAGATTTTTTAAACATAATCATTAGACATAATATATAAAATCAACAGATAAAATATTAATACACTTGTTATTCCAAAAGAAAATTAGGTAGTGCGAGAGAAATATTCAGATAATAAAGAACTTCTAGGATATATGAATCAAAATATATGGGAAACATATTATGAAAGTTATTCGAGATTGCTATAAATCAGGTGGAAATTTGAATGATATATACTTATAGGAAAAAGAAATCGTTAATACAATATACAACAGTAATCTTGGTAGAATTGTATTCGAATTCACATCAATAAATGAAAATGATTTGATGTTATTGAATTACCCGATGAATTCAGTAAGACAAATCCGATTAACAAGGTGTGGGAATATTAAGAAAATAACAGTTTAAGGCTTTTATGAGAAGAATATCAAGATAGTAAAATTAATGAGAACTAAGAAGTAGTGCGGAATGGTGGGAAAGAACTGCCATCTTATGGTCCAGAGGACGGCTAATTCCTCCCTTGAAACAACCACTAGCCGTTTCATTTTTTACATAGCCAGCTAGCATTTTTTCATATTATTAAAAAAATATCCTTGGATTATTAAACGTATTTGCACAGTGTGTCTTAAGTGCTACAGCAAATTCAGTGACACGACTATGTAAGAAAAAAACTAAATGAAACTTGCTGGCCCAGCGTATTAGAACCTAATTATTTAATATAGCAAACTGAACATGATATAGATAAATGGGAATGGGATTTGATACAGTAGCTATTGAGTTAGGTGGAGGAAGCTGAAGAGGTGGTGGTGGCGGATTAATAACATTAACAAGTACCCTATGGTAGAGGCATGATAGTTGAATGTTTATAACGCATTGCCCAAGTTGCAGGTTGATCTCATTTCCCCCACGGCCAACAATTTCAAATTCATACTAAATAAAAAGATATATTAAACAAATTTAACTTTGCTAAAAGCATATAAAAATAAAACATAAGATCGTCGGATTTACTGCACTGATAGATGTTCAATCGGACATTACTAAAGAAATTGAGCAGAAATCGAATTCTTGTAATTTCTTACCGTCATCACTGAAGGCCTTGTAGCTGGTGCGATAGGTTCTTGTATTTTAATTGCAATAGCATCATGGGCTCGACCACCTTGAAACCGATATTTCTCGACTTTATTATTGACATCCCACTTCAAATTGTGAGTATGCAACCTTTACCATACATGTGGTCGTATTACCATAAAAGGAAATTTGATCGACAATACGATTCCGAATTAAATACGAATTCCAATTATTTACTATATGTTACTTAGTAATTCGACCATAATACGGTTTTTGAAAAATGTCCGAATTCAATTCCACCACATGTATAACCTTTACTACTAGATTCGGCCATGGCTGAGACTAAAAATAATATCATATTAATATTGTAAATATTAAAGAATAAAATGAGAAAGCAATAGCTTTAATACATCGCTTGGGTTACATCTGCCCCATTCAATCGAGGTTTCGATACTGGTAACCATGATGTATCCGCTTCTTTTCCTGTTCTAGGAGTTTCGTTGATTTTTGCCAAGGATAATGGTGATAACTTAGCTAGCACTAATAATATCAAAGAAAATCCACTTGTAGATCCGTCACCAAGAATGTCGAAGTTAGTGCACCAATTGCTAAAGTAATTTCTCGCTCGTGAAATTTGTGGATAATTCAATGATATGGATGGTTCCATTTTCCCACTTCCATCAGCTGTGAATATTATATTTATCCGTATGTTTGACATTATTATTATAAGATACCTCAGTAACAAGCTCATATGGCAAACTTGACAATACACCGTCTCCCAAAAAGAACGCAACACCTGATTGGCGATCTTTAAATGTTAAAATTTTAAGTAGGATAAATCAGATTATAATGAAATTTATACTATAGATAGAATATAAG